TCTCTTTATGGTAATTTTTTTGGAAGAACTGCTGCAACAGTGGGTATAAGGCAGCAAATATGTGTGAATTTATAGTTTCATTACTTTTAGTCCGGCATCAGTCATAATGTTATTTATTAAAGTAATTTCTATGTAAGGATATTAAGGAAGATATTATTCCCTACAGCATTACTAATATGCTGCCATTAACACTTAAAATCTATTACATAGGGCTGCTGTGAGTTTGATCTTCAGGGTATTTAAAACTGTACTTTAAAAAGAAAGAGACTCTCTTAAGGAAGAGAGTGTGTAATAAACTCAGCAGTGCAATAAACAAATTGTGTCAAGAAACAAATCAGAAAATAGACACTGAAAAACACTGAAATGAAAATATTTTTGTAAAAACCTGAAATCCCTGCAAATTATATCTGTGGGCTCTTTAGCCAGAGACATCTCATCTTGACAAAGATCGATAGCACTTGAACTTTTAGTGATATGAGGTGCAAGAATACCTTTTGCAAACAGGGAAATGCAACCAGCCCTGCTATGGAGCGTGGCAACCCCTTAGTAACAAGGCAAACAGCACTCCCACTTTATTCATCACCTAAACTCTAGGAAAGGATGGCCAGAGAAGTCCTATAACCTAGTTCCTTGATTTGGGTGAAACGTTTCAGTCTGGATTTCTGATATTTGAAAATTACCCAACCCTGGTTAGTTTACAAGAGAAGATGAACACAGGAGGAAGGATCATCTACTGCTGTACTTATATTTAACTCATCAGAACACTCTGAGGTATCTTGAGGCTGGAAAGTTTTAGGACCTCTGAGAAGCAATATGAGATGGTACTTCACTGATTTGCTAAATGCTCTTCATCAGCTCATATCTGCTTTAACATCTCTCCTGTTGTAAGTACCCTCAGGTGTATTTTGGTGCTTTACCCATTTTGCCAAACAGTTATCAGCATCTCAACTGGATGCTTTGAGAGAGCCAATTAATTAACATTAGTGAAGCATTTGGTATTCTTGGATAAAAGACATTACAGGAAAACAAATTGCTGCCCCTTATGTTGCAATTCAAGATTTCCACTCTGTTCCTAAACACTTGTATTATCTAAGGCTGATAGCTAAAACCAACAGCTCATAAAAATAAAAATAAAAAGTAAGATGCGGTTGCCTGAGGGCATCTTTAATTAGAGAAGCTCTTTCCTTTTCAGATGAAAAGACATCTAGAGTGAACAATTTCACTAGCCAAGAAAAAAATAAGGAAAAGGCTTCCCATGATAAGTTAAATAAGAGGTAATTAGTTTGTGGATAGAGAAGGGAAGAAGCCTGAGACAAGCATCCCACTTCTAAGCCATTCAGGTTATAAAGGAAGCCAAAGACCTACAGCTCCATTAAGAACCAGAAGTTAGAGGTCTTTATCTCACCTGTGCTACAGTTGAGAAAGTTATTTAATCAGTTGGTTTCCCAAGTGGTTTTCCTTTTCCACTGTCTGCAACTGTGCCTTTGTGGTACTAACCCTATTTAAAATTGTGTGATTACGGTTCCTCTTCACTTCCCCTGAGCTTCCCATCCTCAGCTCCTCTGCCAAAAAACCCCTTGTGCCACTTGGGGAGATGGGACAGCAGGGACGTGTAAAACAAGTGTGCACACAAGCCCAGTAACTGCGTGCAACAAAGTAAATCCAGCCTCCTATTAATTTTAACCAGCTGGTGAAAACTGAGCTGTCTCTGCTCTTACTTCATTGTTTAGAAAAAGGACTGGTTGTGAGTTATTGTTCTTGCAGATGGAGGGAAATGTCTGCCTCCAGTAATATCTGTGGAATGAGGCTGCCTGGAGTGGGCATGCTATGGCTCAGCAGAGGACACTGGCAGGGAGTGCTGGTAGTTTTCCACAGCCTTTACCCGGTATCGGGACATCAACCTTTTTCCATTAACTCATCCTTTCTGCCGCTCTGTGGTTTCCTGTGCTTGTTCTGGTGTGAATTTCCTTCCATCCACAACTTTGTTGGGCAGCTTTTACTTCAGGAGGCAAGAGGTTTGCCTTGATTTGGTAACTGTGAACTGCTGAGAACACACAAAAAAAAAAATCACTAATATCTATCAGCCTGCATTTCCCAAAGCCTTACATATTTTTTCTGCTGTCGTAGGTGAGACATCTGAAAAATGTGCCAGTTCAGCTTATCGGGCACCAGGAAATATTTGCTGAAAACTGATTTTACCAATCTCCTATTGCTTTGGCAGGCTGAGAATATGAGCACCGGGGTCTCCAACAACACGTGGAGGACCAGGTTTCTCGCAGAGCTGCCTCGGGGCTTGGCAGCCTGGCTCAGCACGACTTGGAGAGGTGTTCTCACTGCTCCCCTCAGCCTTCACTGTGCCACTCAGGATCAGATCCGAGGAGGAGATGTGAGTCTTTTTCTGATGCAACTGGATTCCTCTGGCTCTTAGCAAATTGTTCTGACTGATGTGACTCCATCTGGCACCAAGATTAATTTGAATCCTGTGGAGTTTTTTGCTGTTGTGAAAACTTAGCTTAACTAAATATTTCTCCCAGCGAGATACCGTAGTGGGGTGGCATTTCACTTACCCAGCATAATATACAAATTAATCCTGGAAATGAGGGTCTGATCCTGTAAGAGGTTCCTAAGAGAAGTTTTGTGTTCCATGCTAGTTCTGATGGAAGCCAGTTGGGCTGTGGAGAGGTGCAGAGAGGTTGCTCATTCAGCTGTAGCTATGATCCTGGTAGTCAGCATTAGAATTAATTGTAAGTACTAATTTCTCTCATTTTTATGCTTGTTTGTAGTTTTTAAAGCAAAGCTTTTGGAAGCTTTCCAGAGAGAATGTAACCTGCACATCTTTGCTTTGTTGAATAAACAAATGAATGTATTTGAGGCTTCTGATGACAAATTCAGATACCAGTTCCTACTAAAAAAAGCATCTCTCAATAGTGATTCTGTAACACTTGTGGATCAAAGACTCAACTCAGGTTCCTTTGCATGTTACATAATTGTGTTTTAATCATTTGGTTTGGATTTTTAAAACAGACACAGCTTAAAAGAAAACAGACAGTGATGAAAATGTCTCTTCCATGGGCTTTAGTTTGTCCTCTGGACCTACTGTCGAAAAAAAAGCCAGATCTGGAGAAGAAACTGCTCCCTGATTCTAAGATTAACTCTTCTTTGCATTCAGGGACAAGGGCACTCAGGGACATTCCTTTCATTCCTCCACAAAGACTAGAAGGGCAAACTTGTCTTCCCCAGATTTCTGGGTCAGTTAAGCTGATGGAAAATCATGGCTTGCACTTTTTTTTTTTCTTTTTTTTTCTTTTTTTTTTTTTAATGCAGGATTACAGCTTTATAGGCTACTTGACTCTTGGCCTACTTTGTCACGAAGTTGGTGGTTTCACCATTTAATCACAAAAGGCACCATGAATTCGGCAGGTATGCTAATGACCCAGTGCCAACTCACACAGGGCTGCTGTTTTCTTTGCAGTTAGAAAATAATAAGACACCACAACATCACTGCACTTCAAAAGCAATTACTGCACCCAAAGGCTGCCAAGGAGGGTTTCTTTGTACCATCTTTACTTCTCTTCATCTCCTCTTCATTCCTTCACCAACGCCACCATTCAAAGTCATTATAGTTTGAACATAAACTAGATCAAATCGTTATAGTAAGTCACTGATGTCCAGCTTCCTCTGGGAGGGGAAGACTGTGAAGCACAAGCAGCCCCTTCTGAGATCAGACTACATGTGTTGAAGCCTATGGTACTGCGACATGAAATTGTGTCATTAACACCCAAACAAAGCCACCATTTGAACCTTCTTGGCACTGTCGCTCCCTCAGGCAGGTAGGAAACCAAAGCAACGTGTCTGCCAGGCAGCCCAACTGGGCTATGATTTGATGTGGCTGAAACTCGAGGTGGAATTGGTTTGTGTAAAACTTCCTTTGGCTTGAATCCCTGCAGGGTGTCCCTAAAATCCTGTAACTCAGAGCAAATCTACAAACTACGGGTTTTTGCTGTGGATCTCTCCACACACAGGTCCATGTGCTGACAGAAGAAGGACTGGCTGATGCTTCCCAGCGGCCTTGCAGCTCCTCCAGCACTGGAGCAGCAGGAGCAGCATTGTGACTCCTTGAGAAACAACACCTTTGCTGGACATACGTGGATGTGCTCCTGCTCCATCTGCACCTTCCTGGTAGGCACAAAGCGTGTGTGTGGCTGCCTGCCCCCTCCTCCCTTGTGTTTCCCTGTCTGGAGAAGGGAAGGGGCCCCTCGGCTGGGCTATAAGAAAGATACTGAGCTATTAGAGAGCGTGCAAAGGAGGGCAATGAAGATGGTGAAGGGAAGCCGTGTGAGGAGCTGTATGGTGTGTTCAGCTGGAGGAGAGGAGTCTGAGGGGAGACATCATTGTGGTCTTCAGCATCCTCCTGAGGGGAAGAGAAGGGGCAGGTACTGGTCTCTGCTTTGCGGGGACCAGGGACAGGACCCCAGGGAATGGCCTGGAGCTGTGTCAGGGCAGGGTCGGGTTGGATCTCAGGGAAAGGTTCTTCCCCCAGAGGGTGGTTGGGCACTGAACAGGCTCCCCAGGGCAGTAGTGGGCACAGCACCAAGGCTGCCAGAGCTCCAGGAGGGTTTGCGTGATCCTCTGGGGCAGAGGGTGGTCCTGTGCAGGGCTAGGAAGTTGGACTCGATGATCCTTGTGGGTCCCTTCCAACTGGGCATATTCCGTGATTCTGTGACATCCCCGGGGCTGCCCCGACAATGCCCGGTCGGTGCGGGCGCATCCCCGCCGTGCCCCGCTCCCGGCCGCGGGTGTCCGGGCGTGCCCTGCCGGGGCGGGGCTGGGCAGATTTGGGATTTTCTGCGGTCCTGCTGTCTCCGCGGGTCCCTCCCCGTGCCCCTCCCGGCGGCGCGGGGGCGTCCCCGGCCCGCCCGTCCCCGCCCCGGCGGCGCGGCTGCCGCGGCCGCGCGTTCAGCATCGCTCGGAGCCCGGAGCAGCGCTCCGAGCCCCGGGGACACGGCTCGGCAGGGCAGGGCCCCCCCCGGCGCCCCCCGCACCCTCCCGCGCTGTAAGGAGGGCGCTCCGGCTCCTGCCCCCGGCGGCGCTGTCCGCGGTCGTGCGCGGTGAGTGGGGCTCGGGGGGAACCGGGCGATGCCGCCGCCGGCTCTGCGAGCCCCGCAGAATTGGGGGAAGGCAAAGAGGGTCTGACCCTGCGCCCTTCCGCGCCGGACACAGGGCTCGGGGAGCGGCCCCGGGGACCTCCTGGTGAGAAGGGTGGGCTCGGGGGGCTCCCGGCTTTGTTTGTGGCTGCGGAGTGCGGTGGAGCACAGCCCCGGCAGCGCTCGGGTGGTCCCTGTGGATGCCGGAGCTCGGGCTCGCAGGTTCTGCTCCCTGCGTGAATATTCAATCAGTGTTTGTGCAGACGCTGCTCTCCTTCTCTTCCAGTCTGAAATAGCGATCTCAGGTAGCTGGAGTTGGCTCCTGATGTGGTTCCTGGGGGCTGGGAGCTGTAAGCCTTGTTCACGCAAGTAAGACCTCTGTGCCCGAGTAAGATGGTTTTTGCAGGATGATTTTGCATGTTTCCACCCTGGAGTGCACATTCTCCGACAGCTCCTGCAGGAGATGGGCTTGTCCCTTTCTGTCTGTGTGCATGTGCGGTCCCTGTTAATTTTGGCAGTTCGTATGTGATCGTTGGTAAAGGTCCGGTGTCTTCGTGCTCTTCAGGAATACATTACAGTGGATGCGTGCCAGTGTTTTGATATTGTAAAAGCAACAAGAGAGAAGAGCCTTAGAAAAAGGTTCGAGGAAATGATTTAGCTCTTCTGATGTTCCTCGTTTCCAGGCAGTGTACTTGTAGGCATCTCAGGGTGAATTGCAGGAAACAATGTGTTTACCAGCACATTGATGAATAATGAAAAGACGGGTCTAAAGCTAAACGTTGACGCTTCATTTAAAATAAATAACTTGTAATTTATTCTGTTTCACGCACCTATTAGCTTTTAGGGAAAAGACGACTATTAGGGGGTGATTAGGGAGCTTTCTTACAACTTGGATAGAATAAGTAGTTCAGTATAGGAGAGCTGTAGGATAATGAACTCATGTGGTATCTAGTGCATGGTTGGATGTGGAGCTGTGGTGCTGCCTGGCAAAACTGTTCTTTGTAACTTCTGTAGCCAAAGTGGAGCTAAAACTTTGTTCTGGGAGTCAGGTGAATGCTCTGGTTCCTCTGGGGTAGATGAACAACATGGGACTTGCTATGGAACATGAATTGACAGGGGTTTCATATTTATATCATAGACCATTGATTGAATGACTTAGTGCTTCATCCTTCTCTTTCTCATTAATAATCTAATTAGGGGAAGACTGGAAGGAATATGGAATTGAGAAACGTTCCCAGTGGATACGCAGTAAAAAAGACATTGCGGAGCAGGCAGCGTAAAAGGAATTTCCAGAACTACTTACTCATCACCCAAGACAGAGCCAGGTTTCAAACGCTCCTAGGCTTAGGCTCCAGAGAAAATTTCTGGATTTTCAGGTCTTTCTTTTCAGTTTTCAAAGTCTTGTATCCAGAGTGCTGTGGGGGTTTAGTGAGGGAAACGTGTCTGTGTAACCCAAGTTCTGAATCTTCAGTGCTTAAGAAAATCAAGCCCTGAGCACTTCAAAAAATCTGAGCCTTGGGTTGTAGTCAGACCTCCTACCACTTACATTCTGGAGACATTTCCTTTTAATTTTTCCAGCAGATAGACTTATAGCTGTAAATTCTAGGTGCAATAAAGCACGGTATTAAAATTACTTTAATTAATTTTTTTTCAATATAGAAGCCATCGGGATTAATGAACAGCTCTGTAAATGCCTATGAAAAAATGCAAGATCAGTAATAGAACTGTATGTGGCACTTTATCTGAGAACAAAAGTAATAGGTAGTGGCTAAAAATAGTATTTCCTCTTTCAACAATAGAGTTAAATATTGCGATGGATGTAAACTGCAACAAGGTGGATTGGTCCAGAGCTGGAGGCTTGATCACTTGTGCCTGCTGACCTTTTGGCCTACTTCTTCATTTTCCTTTGAAGTATCACTCTTGCACGTGTATTTTGATAATAGACCACAAATGCAAACCAAAAAGCTGTTCTTTAAAGGGAGAGTTGGAGGTTCTGCTGCTGCACCACAGAGGCACGATAATTTCTAGAATGTGTTCTGATCTCCTGTAGCTCAGCACAAACTGCTCAGGTTGTGCCTGGGTTTGCACGCCCCACGTGTGGGCAACAACAAACATCCTTCCACCAGAAGGAAAATGATTAGCGCTGGTTCTGATCGTTCAGCGCTGTTTAAAGTGGCCCAACGTCACTGCTCGAGAAATGCCTTCATAATAAGGTCAGTGAAAAATTTGCCTCTCCAGTAGCCCTGTCACAGCCTCTTGAGGAACTGTTATGAGAGCTGGTAATTATCTGCCTTCATCTGAGGCCCGGGACTCATTGACACTGAGCACAAAGAGGAGGAGCAAATGACAAATACTTGGCCAGCAGCACATCCTCTCGGAGGTGTTTTCTTCTCCCCTGGTTCCTTAGGATAAGACTGACAAGTTTGGGGTGTGGATAAAGCAGCGTTTAATTACCTAGTGCTTATTTAGCCCTTGGAAGATGGAAAATACTACGTGGGGATGATTTGAATCAAATGCTGTTATTCTCTGCTAATTAAAGAATTTGCTTGCCTGTTCTACATCTCAGGTTGGAGTCGTAGGCGATTTTAAAGCATTATTTGAACTGTGGTTTAGACTTGTTTTAGCAGAGGGGCCTGGGAAAGTCTTTCAGTAGGAAAAAATAATAGGCAAAGATTTTCTTGCTTTAGCCTTTCTTTTTTTTAGTAGTTGCAAAATCTCTGTATTAGGGAAGGAGGAAAAGGGAGCTGAATGGAACCGAGTGAGGAGCTGTTGTGTGAGGTAAAATTCTGATATTGTTCTCACATGCCACCCTGCAAATACATTTGCATTTAAAATTTCCAGGCGAGCCAAAGCGTAGGACCGGTGCAGAATGCTAAACAAAACCTGACAGCGAACTCTGAAAACACCACATAAATGGGCTGGGCATTCCTTTGCTTGGACAATTGAGTTGGAGATCTGTTTCTTTTAATGATTATGGATCCGAAACAAAGATTCTTACAAAAATGGGATGTCAGTTTTCTTCTGAGCTGTTTTCAGTGGAAAAATGTTTACTTTCTGTCGCATTTCCCTGTGACTGTTTGAAAACTCCCGGGAACTGTAAACCCCAAATCCCTTTCTGCCCATCAGATAGCCACAATATACTCCTTTGTGTCGCTCAGGCTGAAATTCAATCTGCTTGGGAGGCTGAGGAGTGGTTTGGGGCACAGTGGTGATCCCAAAGATATTGGATATCACCACAGAGGTACCTTTATATTGATGGTGTGAGCAGACAAAGCAGCAGCTCTTCTGGGGAATGTGGTGATGGTTGTCCTGTACCAGAGTAAAACAGTTCTGCTCAGGGGTAGTGTGATAGAGAAGCTGGGATGATGCCAACTGAGGAGGGAACAAAACTCAGTGGGTTTTACCTTTTCAAGTGTAAAACTCGCGTGTCTGCAGTTATCGGCAATAACCTGTCCCTGTGCAGACAGAGCGCTGGTGCAGAACGATCTGAGGAGACTGAGGGTTGGGAACGGGAAAAGAAAATGATTGATGGGTTAACGTGTGAACTGGGTGTGAACGAGCACCCGCAGTCACAGAGCTGGAACAAATCGAGGGCCCCTGGTCGGACAGGGCTGCAGGGAAGCAGTGACACAAGACAGCTCAGTTGGCCGTGATATTCCAGCTATGAATGGGAGAATAACAAGCTTTTCATGTGCAGTGTGGGTGCATCTGGCTCCCTGGCTCAAATATAGGGCACCTGCCCTTCGAAAGTTTCGAGGGAAGGGAAAGAGCTGGTTGAGAGACCAAAGGGACATTTCTAGGGAGTGATTAAAAATGCTTAATATAGATAATCCAAGAAGAAAAGACACCTGCACTTTCAGGTATGGGTACTCAAAAGATAATCTCTTAGCCTTTGCAAGAGCAACTAGATTTAACTTGGGGTAACTTGAACATCAAGGAAAGCTATTTGGAATGAAGCTAAATAATCTTCCCCAAAAATGCTGGTTGGGTTGTCGGTCGGGGTTGTGTAAAGTTCACAGATAGCCCTGGAAGGTGTTCTGCTGGGCTGGTGGCTCAGGGTCACATCTCTCCTGGCTGTGCCTGGGGGCCAGGGTGGAGGTTTTGAAGTCATCAGGGCAGCTCTTCTGCTGGGATTTGACTGCTCAGCTACCCTGTGTGGTCTGCTGGAAGGGACAGTCATTCCCTGCTGCCTCCTGTATGGAAGGAGATGGACTGGATGAATGAATAAATATTATTCCATCCTTAACCGCTGATCCAGGAAATATTTGATCACTTATCTTGCTGGCAGCTGACACTTAGGCCATTATTCTATAAAACAAATGCTGTTCTGATCATGCGGAGAGGGAATATGGGAGTAGGGAAGTGATGGAAGACACTCCTGTAGGAATCTCAGCGGGCCAGGCTGGAAATATTGCTGGGTTTGCATTGACTCTGTTCATTTGTGTCTTTGGACTCCTGTGGGATTCTCCTCTTGAGGAAGAGCTGGAAAGCAGCAGGCTCGATATGTTCCAGCCGTTATTGGTGGGGGAAAAAAAAAATTAATGGATATTCTTGGATATTCTTGCATCTTCCTTTGCTGAGACTAGACACAACACTGAGTTCTTGCCTAAGTGTGAAGAGCCACTTCTAAGGGTTGTGCAGCTCTGCTGAAGTTGTAGGTGATGCATAAATGGATTGGAAGGGCTGAGGGCCATGATCCAAAATGTGGGAGATGCTGCAGCTTTGGGTCAGCCCCAGCAGGTCTTCAGTCCAAGATCTTGTCTTTGCTTGTGTTTGGATTTAATCACTTTCTTCGGGGTTGTTTTTTAGAATGCGGTTCCAAGAATATGAAGATGTTGCAATTTTGAACTTAATTGTTTGTTATGGTGTTACTGTGTACTGTAACTTCTCTCTTCAGATTCAAGGTGGGTCAGCTTATGAAAAGCTTGCTTGATCAGACCCCTGAGGTTTGGTGTTATAACATG